ACCGTGGCCGCCCCGCGACTTTCTGGGCCCGTGGTCCCAGCTGGGGCGCGTTGGCCGCCAGGCTCCTCGGGCACTGGTTCCCCTCTTACAGCAACGATGCTCCGAGACCAGCCGTCGCCACCGAGAGAAGCTCGCGGGGGTGACTCGCTTCAACACGGAGCCTCCCATCCAAACCGAAATGCCCACGGAGCGGTACGGCAGGTGGCATCCATCTTCCCGACCTGCCCAGCCCGCATTTCACACGCATCCACCAGCACACGCCAACCAGCTCTGAACTTTGTCGGTATCAGAAAATGTCCCTCTCCTTGAAGATATTTGAGAACAATCTCCTTGGCCAGGAGCGAAAACACTTGTCAGATACTGCCATGGGAATAGAAAAGTTACTCAGACTTCTAGCCACTTGGCTCAGATTTCGGTGAATCATATAACTGTGATGGACCCACCATGACTTTTGCCTTGAAGGCGATGGAAAAACAAACTTTAAAAATACCAGATGCCCTTTATCGCTAATAGCTGGCTGTCAGTCAGGTAACAGAGCCACCCTCCTCAGAGCTGAGGGGCACACCAGTGTTAGATGTGGCATGACCCAGCAGCTCTCACACCGGCTTTCGGAAACACTCTGCTCAGTGCATGAGCCTCCAGTCTTAAAAAACAGATTAGTGAGGAGTGTTATCACAGCGGTGGCTCACTGGAAAAAAAAATCAGACACATTTCACACTGTCAGACTATTGCATAAATCTCCCTTTGCTTCTCCCTGCTCCCCACAGAGCACTAGTGCACTGAGGCTGGAGGGGAGCGGATGAGGTGAAGGGAGTGGAGGGATGTCAGCTTGCTGCTATTCTCAGGGAAAACCCTGCTTGCACTTTTTGGCTACCATCTGTCCGCTTGCCCATGTGATTCATCTCAACTTAAGACACATCCCAATGCCTCCATGGCTATATAAGCATTGGAACTGAAATTTCACAGAGTGAACACAAGCACTGCTGCATATATTGCAAATTTTGTCTGGGCCATAGGAAGTGTGCTACTTCCTGAAAAAATACACCCCAAAAATGCATAAATTCTACTTCATAAAGCCTCCAAAATTCTTAACGTAATTATAGTAAGCTTGAGCTAAAGAGACAGCTACATACTGGGTTACCATTTCACACCAAATCTTCTATCCTTATTGTACCTCTAGAATAATACTTCATAATAATGCTCAATAAACAATTTGAAGCAATTTGGGAAAGTGATCATTCACCTTTTCTTGAAGTAGCAAAACTTCATTTTGGCATATTCGTCAGTACTGTAGAAAACATTGTCTGGCAGAAGAAGGAAAGGCCAGTGTCCATCATTCTCCAGTGCTCACACATCCCGGCTCTCTATTCTCTCAGGCACAAAAACTAGCACTTTCCCATTCTGCTTGTATTATTAGTGAGGAACTGTGCAATTCAAAACACAGGGTTTTTTTATCTAGCATTGATTCATGAGGAACTGAGAATTAGGAACTTTGGGAAATATGGCAAGATTAACGCTTGCATTTGATACACACAGAATATTGATGACAAGCTCCATGAGAGACAGTCTGCCCTTGTACAAGAGACACTGGTGATACAACGCCTTGTGAGTGGCTGTTGTGCACAAGAGCAGGTACTTCTAAACCATGCTTTTAATCTTTAACAATGACTGAGTTTTAAGATACAACTCTAAATGTGAAATGGTATTTAAAATCAGCTGAACCAACAAATATATACATTGTCTGGGGGGTTGTCTTGGAGTTTTATAACCAAACAAGAATTCTGACATTTCTTAAAGCTGCATGGAAGAGAAAGAGTTCATTTTCTTTTACTATTGATATGTTTTATAATCCTATACCTAAATAATACAGGCTGTTTCTTTTAGTCTGTAAAGGAAAGTATAACATGCAACCTAAATAAGCAGGAATGCTAGAATTCCTCCCCAATCCTTACTCTTCCTATAAAGAAGCAGTCAGGCCCTACAGAACAATGGCTAGAGAATTACTCTGAAGAGGTATATGCGCAAATTTTCTAAAATGTATCTTCTGATTTAAAAGAAAAGTATCAAGATCTATTAGTCTTGAAAGAGGTCATCTGTAAAGAACAACAAAAAGACTTGCCTGGAAAAGATTATGACTTTCAGTGTTTTAAGTAATCAGGTGGTCAAGACTAATTTCTGGTTTGTAACATACTTGGAAGATGAATAAGCAGGAGAAATAATTGAAAAGAGCTGTTCTGATTTAACGGTTTAACTTAATCATTTATTATTTATCCTGCTTATCCTGGGGCTGATACCATCTTCCTTGTAATATTATAGAATCAAGCCAGGCTGTTCTAACATGGTTACAGCTGGTGACACTCTGTGTGCACAGTCACGTTTTCCTTGCACGTTTGTAACCAAACATGCATATTCATTCTATTATCACTCTGAGTCACGATGGCACTTTGGAGAATCTGGGAATGGGGATGATACTGGTTGGTTAGAGCCGCAACACTGGGGAGATTCAGTTCATAGGCAGCAGACATCCAGGTCATGTTATCCAAGCGCTCCATAGGTACTTCTTCCACCAGTACACCAGCAGCAGGGCGATCTGGCATTCAAGACTAAAAGAACTGGGGACTGTGAGAAGGGTGGCACAACACTGAACTGAATTATTTAAGATAATCCAGGTTTCAAAAGAGAAAATTATCCCCTGATTTTATTAAATGTGCTATCATCTCACTAGTCAGACGTGACCTATGAGCTTTTCAGTACTCTGGATTTCCTCTGAGTTATAGGAGTATCAGTATGTGGGATGTGATCACACGTATGTGGTATAAGTAAACATTTTCTCTCTTCTTTTCCAACAGATAAAAAAAGTTTCCAAATCGATATTCACTTCAGTTTCACACTCCTGAGTTCTTATATCAAGTGAATATTTAACCTGTCTGCCAAGTAATATTTAAGACCAGGATATAAGAAAATGCTTTTTCTTTTTACCACAATTTTGATCTGGTTTTGCCTACTCTACATGAAAGCAAACTATAGTTTCCACTTTAACATGAACATTTGTTACTTTCTAGAATTTGAAAATACTTTTAAAAGGTTTGAAAATCTTAAACAACACTAAAATCTTAACCCAGACATTGGTTTTGTATGTTCAGAGCCTTCAACTCTAGCTGTAATAATTTTGTCTTAACATGACAATTAACTCAGCAGCTGTTCTCACTTGAATCAATAAAAATCATGAATGCAGTTTGTCTGGAGACAGAGGAATTGCAGGATGTGGAGACAGCAGACCTCTCAATATTTTGCTATTGTGCTGGGACTTGAAACTGCAGATTAATTAATTTCAGTCACACAGTGGCAGGATAGCACTTTGGCCATTGCAGTAGCTCTTTGGAAGACTACAGAGCAATGCAGGCAGCAGTAGCAGCAAAAAAAGAAGAGGTGGAATTTCTTTTCCCCAACTTCATTGCTTGTCTAGAATCCAGCCTTGCAAATACTTCCCACTTTCCCAGAAGGACTGCTGAGAGCTGGGTAGTGCTGAATGCAGCACTGTCTACAGGATCAGAACTTTTGGCAGGGGTCTTTGGCGTGAAAACTTCTTTCAGAAGAATAATAAAGCCCAGGAGATTATGGGAAGGCTAAGTATGGGTGGAAACAGCAAGAATATTTTGGGGTTTACTCCAAAATCTAGATGATGGAAGATGATCAAACATACATCCAGCGAGTAGATGAAGCAGAAGTTATTACCAACTTGCTTTAAGCTGGTATTTGTATGATTTGGTGACAGTTCTGGGTCCCTTTTTTGAATAAAATTACTTTAGCATATATATTAGGCAACTACTTTCCTAAACTTTAGCCATGCAAGCTGTGACACCTTCCTTCTAATAAGTAAGGGACAAATAAGCTTGCGGCTGTGCTTCAGATCAAGAGCTTGTTTAAGTGCTCCTCTGGATCCGGGCCAGAATACCCCGCACCTCACTGCGTCAAGCTGGTGCACAAGCTGTACCACTCATGCTTTAGTTCTGCTGGCTGCACTGCCTGCAGTGATTACCTGTCCTCCCACCCCTGTGGAACTGTACCTGTTTTGAAGCCTCAGAGGCTCTCATAAAAAACAAATTATATATGATATTATTACACCTGTGCAGAGCTTTTCTTCCCAAACAATCTCAAAAGCTGAAATACTGTACACATCATGTTGCGCATGCATGTGTAGATGTGTATACTGGAGGCACTGGAGAGCAGGGCTTGCAGCTAACCAGCGAAGGCACATTACGGTTAAGGCTACCATGAAAAGAGGAGATCAATTTTTTTATTTATTTTTATTAGGCAATAAAACATGGCTGCTGGAAGCTTGCTGTCAAGATGCTGAGATTCTGATGCAGTTTGGTTTTTTTTCTCCAGTCCTCCAATGTGATTTTCCCTCCTGGCTTAGTTCAGGAAGATAATCCAATTCAAGCATTTCAGCCTACAGAGCATTCACCTCAAACAAAGAAACACTTCTATGTGGGCACAATAGATCATTAGGCTCTTCTTTCTGACAACTCCTGCTTTAGCCTAAGTGTCTGTCATTTATTCACTCATTTATTCACTCTGCAGTGCAAAACACTCATTCCTTCTCTTTCACCCAAAGTATTTCTATGACTTCATTACAATTGTAACTCTGCCTTTCATGGTACAGAAATGTAGCAACTGCTCAACTTCCAGATCATTAACCTATTATATTGACCTTATTTTCCATGTAGCCTGCTTCAGATTTCCAGTGCTGTGATTTTATGACTCCTTAATTTGTGCGTGAAATTCTTTACCCTTCCTAGCACATGGGCCTGCACAAAAGCTGCAGAGTAGACTTTGTGCAAAGAAGATGGCATGAATCAAAGGAGATAGATGATTTCCAGCACACACCCCCACCCCACCCCCCTTGGTTCCCCTGGAATCACATCCAGCTCCACCTGAAGTTTACCATCAACTTCTCCGTGTACTAATCTTGAACAAGACCAGCATCAGAAGCAAAAAACCACCATACCTCCTTCCCCAGCAATAAAGGTATAATCAGCACTTATGGAAATGTTTCTGACAGAACGTGTATAAGTGCAAGAGAACCTAATGGAAATGACTGACAGCACTGTTGATTGTTCTGGTTTACTGTCAAAAATGTAACTCCTTTGAAAATATTCTTTCAGTGAAGCTGTTACAAAACTTCTTTTGCAAAAAAGAAATTGCTGTGATTTGCTAAGCAACAAGACTGCAACTCCTCACCAGTACAAACACTGTCACTCACCTCTGTTTCGAGGCGTGATGCCAAAGGATGTGTTGCCACCAGCTTGATGGATTGAGGCATGTGATGGTTGATCGCGAGAGCCAGGACAGGAATCTCTTCCACTTGAACCCCAAGCACAGATCTCAGCATAAACCCAAATTGACAACTTTGTAATTGATGGAGAGCAACATAGTTTAGAAGGCTCCCATAAACAATACAAACCCTTTTAAGGTTGTTGATAGTAACTGAAGAATTTCACTAATGAATAGTACCACTGAATTTAAACAATAAAAAAAAGCAAACCCAAACAGAATTTCTACCTAAAGACTGCTAGTTAAACTCCAAGGCAAGTACCCAATCAACCATATAGCTGCAATGAGAGAGAGCCTTACACCAAATGTTACCATGTTTGTGGCTAGAGAAAAAGTTGCATTACATTATTTTGTTCCTTGTTGCTGCTTCACATGTAGTGCCAGTTAGGAAAACTATTTGCTTACTTTTGTCCCTACAGAAAGAAGGCCTTTTTGTAATCTCATCAATATTCTTTTACACCAAATATTTGTGATGAAATTAATTTATCCTAATCTGAAAATATAAAACTGCTGTCTGAAAAATCAGACAGCAGTTGTCCTCACTCACACAAACTTGAAGTTTCTGAAGCGTGACTCACTTTTTAGTTTGCACTAGAACTTCAGTGTATTAGAAGGTTTAAAAGATGGTATAACTGAGATATTTCAACAATTTTGTTTGAGAAATGTTAGTGTCTGGGGTTTAACATTGGTGGGAAGATACAGCAATTGATTTTGTTTAAACTCAAACAAGAGTAAAAGCCAGTTGTAAAGGCCTTGAGTTTTTACTTACAGGTAACACCTCAGAACAACAGGAAAGGATGTTCCGACAGAATTGAAAGTAACTGAGAAGGACGTTCTGACAGATTTGAAGCTTTTGCTGCGTTTTTGTCTACAGCCCTAACTGCCCTGCTCATGGTACCAGCATGGCTGTTTCCAAGGCGCAGCAGGAGCACGCACATCTTAAAGACTGGACATTACAACGGCGTTAACCATTCCAAATGCCTGGGACGCTTTTTTTTTTTTTTTTTTTCATTCCCTCTTAACGCTGTTTGTAGTTCTGCTAAGCCATAAAACAAGCGCCCTGGGAGTTCTCCTTATAAGCAGACAGCAGTATAAACAAACACCCCATACTGTTCTCCTGGCGCTCCAGCCTTGAGGAGTCTTGTTTTCAGCTCTGACCCCACAACCTTTCCTCTGGTTGGCAGCGTGCTGGCGTTGACAGTTCTCATGGTTCAGCCAGAGTTGAAAGATAATTGCTGGAGGAGCAGC